TGGGGCAGGCCACAGAGCTCTGCCTCAGTCCCCAGGGCCAATGGTGACCTCGTCATCCCATTAGCTGTTGCTGGGGAACAATAGTTCCAGCCAATGCCACACTTCCTGCAGTCTGTGAATCCGACCAGACCAGCAGGCTCTGGCAGATGACATCATTCCCTGGTGGAGTAGAACAGACCTGTGCTCCCCAAGGAGGGGTTGTCTCCACAAACTGAATACAAGGCTTCATGTTTGATTGGATTAAGGATGTGAGGGGGGAAGCCATAGAGAAAGGGTATTGCCAGGACAATGGAAATATTTAGATGAGCCATACACTGAGTATAATTTCGTCACAGTTAAATGTTGAGTGTTATAGTTTTCCTGATACAGAGAGTGTTCGCATGCTTTATAAAATACTGATGGAAGAATTATATCAAAAGTGTGATGAGGTCTAAACTTTCTCACAAACAGTTTAGTCACAAAGGTAATATTGATGTACTTGTGCTCATGTAAATACCTGCACATACATGTCAGCTTGTAAACATGTATGCCTACATGATCGTATGTAAGTATATATGTGTATACAGAGAATGAGAAATACAGAGAAATGTAACAAGTGACGACACTAAGTAGAGAGGTAATTGTGTATTCCTCACACTATTCTTACTCTCTTTCTGCACTTTTGAAAGGTCGTTTGTGTTTGAGAGGGAGTCTCATGTACCCTCAGCTGGCATCAGTCATCATTGTGTAGTCAAGGATGACCTTGAACTCCCGATTCTCAAGTGCTAGCATGATAGGCATGAACCACCATGTCTACCTGAGTTTGAAGTTTTACCAAATCAAAAGGTGGAGTAAGAAAGAATTAGTACTTAAGGTAACTTTTTTCACGGAAAAAATAAAAATTCCCAGTATCATCACATGGCTAAAGTGACTTTTACGGGGAAAAAAAAAAAATCTAATAAGGTTTTGAAAGTAAATGAGATAAGATGGTGAAGCGGGATGGGGTGGGTTTATTATCACTGTTAAGAAAGATCATTGTATCGCAAGGTATTTATGACTTGCTGCCTTCCAGACAGGACTCCCCTGCCCCGCCCCCATTCCTTCTTGTTAGAGGATGGATCCTGACCCCTTTTAATCAATTCCTTTTTTAACTTTGTGATTCTCAGCCCTCCCAGCTCCAATTTTAGTGACACTTTAAAAGACAAGTGTCTTAAGATACCAAAATGTCACCGTTCAAGCAGAAAGCTGGGAAAGCCCATCCTCAAACAAAAAACAGGGAGAGTCACCTGGATGTAGAGCAAGGTTATGAAGCCTTAAAGCCCTCCCCCGGTGACGTACTTCCTCCAGGAGGCTCCACCCCACCTTCTAAAGGTGCTACAACCTCCCCAAACAGCGCCACCGACTTAGTACTCGGTATTCGAATATGTGAGCCTGTGAGAGACATTTTCTCATTCGAACCACCACACTAGCCATTACAATCCAGACACGCTGGTATGATTTATTCTCCTTATTTTTCTGCACTCCGTATCCAGCATAGCATTTACATGTGACATATAAATGCAAGAGGAGTATGGCTCAAGTTAAACAAGAACACAGTATGGTCTAAAGAAGCAAACACAAAGCTGGGCAGTGGAGGCGCATGCCTTTAATCCCAGCACTTGGGAGGCAGAGGCAGGTGGATCTCTGTGAGTTTGAGGCCAGCCTGGGCTACAGAGCAAGTTCCAGGAAAGGCTCCAAAGCTACACAGAGAAACCCTGTCTCAAACCTTGTCTCAAAAACCAGGAGAAAAAAAAGGAAAAACAGCAAATAAGGTGGTTTTTTTTTTGTTTTTGTTTTTTGTTTTTTGTTTTTTTCAGGTATCACTACATATCACTGGCTGTCCTTGGAACTAACTATAGAGACTATGATGGCCTGAACTCAAAGAGATCTGCCTGCCTCTGCCTCCCTGGAATTGGTGTGCACCACTATGTCTGGGGGAATGAGAAAAAAAAATTTTTTTTGGCCTGCCTCTGCCTCCCGAGTGCTGGGATTAAAGGCATGCGCCACCACCTCCCGACTGGAACGAGAAATTTTAACCTATCAAAAATCATACTTGAAGTAAGTTGACTCTCTTGTTTTTTTCTGTGCTCAGAGTTGTTTGTACTTTATAGAACACTTGTTAAATATTTGCAGTATTTTAAATAAATTATTATCTTTTAATTTTAGCTTTCCTTTTGGTTGCTTTGATATTGTGGATACCATGGATGTTATCTCATGTGGAATGGTGAACCATAATTTTATAAAAGGTTGGTCTTTAATATCTGAATTATTATAGCCATTATTTGTGACTAATAATTCCATTTGTCCTATTATTTTGGTATTACAGAAATCAGGTAATAATCAAGTATCATTTTAAAACATTACCTTTCCCATGTGTGAGTACTGTTAGCAGGGATGGAAGTCTGGCATGGAGGAGAGCAGGGTCCCAGCACAGCTAACTTCTACATTATTCCACAACCAGAAGAGGAAATGGGACCCTTAACAGGTGCAGCTTTGCAATATTACTCATGAACTTTTCATTGGTAAAATACAAATACTGAGGAATCCTTTAAGTCTCACCTAACCATATTATAGGACACCTTAAAGACTCATTTAATCAAAACACCATGAATGCTGTTGTTGGAGATCCATGCCTCTCGATGGGGAGAAAAAGTTTTGGCCTAAATCATCAGGTATCCTTAACAAGATCCAGGGGAGTTAAAGTTACTTTATAAAGTAATCAGAAGCCTGAGCATGCTAAAGGGCTCCCCACAGCCTTTGCTGCCTATTAGCACTTTTAATGTAAGTAATAGAACCGAGTGCAACCGGCTGTCCCAAGTCAACATTCTTCCCCTTGGTCTTAGTAAGAAAAAGTCTCTGTGCTTTGCCTCTAAGAGTTTGTATTTAAGATGGATATGTTCCAAATGGAGCTCCTTTTGAAAAACTTACTTTAAGTTTTTGCCAATTTAAACAGTGGACTTTTTCTTGAACCAAATAATATTGAATAATGAGGATCATTTTTATGGAAGCCATAAAAAATTTCGACCCTTGTAAACATAAAATCCTGTTTCAAGTGGGGTAGGCGGACTGTGAGCAAACAGTCATAACGGCATAAAATCAACATTAGAACACAATCATACTCATTTGTAGTTTTACCAAAACCGAAATTAGTATTTTTTCCATCACTTATGAATATGCCAAAGGAAACTTCAAATAACCCCAGGCAGTGTTTGCAGTATCTAAATTGAAAAGAATTAAGAAATGCAATAAAGTGAGAATTGGTAGAAATGTTGTTGAATGGGTTCCGAGGGTTACTTGAGGTACTCACTCGTCAAAACAGCTGAAGATGAGTTTCACCCAGCTTTTCAGAAGTCAACAGGGAACTTTGCGTGAAGTCCGATGTGGTTTTCAGAAGTAGGCACAAAGTTGAAATGAGCAACATGAACATAGGAACTTATCTCCCTGCAGTTGTAGTCCTTTCCCTCAAGGCTGGAAGGAGTCTGATATGCGTCTTTTGCCCAAGTGATGAAGTCACCTGGTTTGAACTCCTGTTTTTCTAGTTATTCGTCTCCTTTCATTGTTGAAAAACTCTACATCTAATTCTTATTTTTAGTTATCTATGAGTTTTAAAAAATCCATTATAGCCGGGCGGTGGTGGCGCACGCCTTTAATCCCAGCACTCGGGAGGCAGAGCCAGGCGGATCTCTGTGAGTTCGAGGCCAGCCTGGGCTACCAAGTGAGTTCCAGGAAAGGCACAAAGCTACACAGAGAAACCCTGTCTCGAAAAACCAAAAAAAAAAAAAAAAAAAAAAAAAAATCCATTATAATAATATAAGGGTGTCTCCCTTTATTATAGATGGCTTCTAAAGTCTGTTTTTTAGTGGGTATTCATTACTGATTTTATGAGTAGATTATGTTTTCCAAAAGGTAAAGATCTTTAATTATAGGAACTAGTGGGTAAGACTTGCATTAACAAATCCTAACACTCTAGCAAATTTGACAATTAGTGTCATTTGTTAATTTAATAAACCATCTAGAGAACTGAAGGTCACAGTCACAACAAAAATTTAGTACAATAGGCTAAATTATACCAACAGATTTAAAGATTTGCCTACTAAAGTAAGTTTCACCATTACTATGTAATTTAGTGGAAATGCCACAAGTAAGAATAATTCTTTTTAAAATTTTTATTTATAATTATTGTGTGTGTGAATGATGTGGGTGGGTACATGAATGTTTTAATGCACAAATAGGAATCAGAGGATCTGTGTTTTCTATTTCTACATTTTAAAAAAGTTTTCGCTGGGTGGTGGTGGTGGTGGCAGTGGCGGCGGCGGCGGCGGCGGCGGCGGCGGCGGCGGCGCATGCCTTTAATCCCAGCACTGGGGAGGCAGAGCCAGGTGGATCTTTGTGAGAGTTCCAGGAGAGGCACAAAGCTACACAGAGAGACCTTGTCTCCAAAATACCAAAAAAAAAAAAAAAAGTTATTTTTAATGTGTATGAGTGTTTTTGTTTGCATGTATGTATCTGCACCAAATGTGTGATTGGTACCTTCAAAAACTAGAAGAGGCCTTGGATCTCCCAGAACTGAAGGTGTGATGACTGTGAGCCACAATGTGGTTACACCCAGGTCCTCTGTAAGACCAGAAATGCTCGTAATTGCTGAGCCATCTCACCAGCCCCTCTCTTTCTAATTTGATGTGGATTTGGGGGATTGAGTTCAGGTTGCCAGGCTTGTGTTATAGCCCTTGACCTGATGAGTCATCTCATCAAACCAGAATAATCTTTTTGAATAGGAATTTTCCTATTGCTATTTTGGTGGTTTGAAAGAAAATGGCCCCCAAAGGGAGTGGCACTATTAGGAGGCGTGGCCTTGTTGGAGGAAGTGTGTCACTGTGGAGGGCAGGCTTTGAGGTCTCTTTTCTCAAGCTTCACTCAGTGTGACAGTCAGTCAACTTCCTGTTTCCTCTGAGTCAAGATGTAGGGCTCTCAGCTCCAGTACTGCATCTGCCTGCACACCCCGCCATGACGACAATGGACTGAACCTCTGAAACTGTAAGCAAGCCCCACACACACAAATTAAATAGTTCTTTATAAGAGTTTCCATGGCCATGGTATGTCTTCGCAGCAATAAAAAAAACCCAACTAAGGCAGCTATGATGGTAGACATTTGGCAAGTAAAATTTTTACTCAGTAAGAAACATATAAACTTAGCGTTGGGATAAAATATGATTGCCAGGGAGTAATGGTCTTTCTTCCTTCTTTCTCTTCTATTGTGGGTACTGCCTTCTGCCTATTACACTTGGGGCTGTGGGCTTGAGACTGAGCACCAGACAGACGGTAAAACTGAAAGTAGAATTTCCAACAATGTGAAGGAGAGATAGAAACTTGATTAGAAACTGCCAAGCAATCTGTGCCCATCAATACCATGTTTGGAAGATTCAGGAGCAGAGGCTGAAGGACATGATGATCATGTTCTACCGCATCTTAACGCAGCAGTACTAAAGGTCATTCAGTAGTATACCCACCACAGGGATGACCCTCGTCCTCCCAGGGAAGATAAGAACAAAGAGAAGAGGACAGATGATATCCCTGTTTGGGACCAAGAAGGCTGAAAATTAACCAAGGAACAATTTCTGAGTGTATTTTGGCTGCAAACTACTCAGACTGATATCAAAGGTTTGCTTGGTGCCATATGCAAGGCTGTTACCAGTATGGCTAGGAGAAGGGGACCCCTGAAGAGATTTGGAAATGCTTTAACCTCAAAGATGCCTTTCCTAGAAGAGGAATGGAGTTACAGCTGCCATGTTCTTAACCCATGAGCCATCTTTCTAGTCCCAAGCCTTAAGAATCTTTACTAACTCTTGGCTATAGTATCTTGGTTTCACCCATGCCATCTTTCTTTAAATCTTAACTTTGTCGAAATTTTCTAACGTACTTTAACTGTCTGGATTGTCTTTATCTTTTTTTCATTTTTAGCAATACCTTTAGTACAAAAATCTTGTTTTATCATTAAAAAAAAAAACTTTCTCATCTGAAATCACATTTTCTACAACCTGCTTTACAAAAAAAAAAATTTACATCTTCTTTTCTTACTTGATGGTCCCTTTATTTTTCCTTTGAAAAATTTAGAAAATGCTTCAAGTCTCTTTATAAAATATCTGTCTTATTAAATGAAAACCCAGAAACCTCTCTGAGACCCTGAGCATGAGGGGTAGATTAAATATCACACAGTTACATGCAGAATGTACCCCAGGAGGGTCTGTTTTCCTAACAAAATTCAAGTTAACCATTTGCTAACGTTCAGGTCCTTCCACAGCAGGCCTTTAGAGCCCTTGCTAATGACAGTCTCTTGTTTTGGTCACAGTGGAACGAAAAGCCAGAGGAAAGCCTGGCATGTCTGTCCACCTTTGCTTTTCTCTCTTTTACTTCTGGGCCTCTGTTTACCTGTGTAGGAAGGACGTAAATCATCTCACTAGTGTGTCCCTAAATTGCTTCATCCCATTCTAAGGCTCAAAGTGCAAACACACTGTAAAAGGGTTGAGCATAGAGGACACTTAAGAAGTAATGAAATACCCTGAGATGATTCGCTTACGTGTGCTAACCTGGAGATGGCTTTTGTAGAGCACTCACTAGACAGCGACAGTTTGGCTTTAAAAAAAAAAAAAATGACCAGCCGGGCAGTGGTGGCGCACGCCTTTAATCCCAGCACTTGGGAGGCAGAGCCAGGCGGATCTCTGTGAGTTCGAGGCCAGCCTGGGCTACCAAGTGAGCTCCAGGAAAGGCGCAAAGCTACACAGAGAAACCCTGTCTCGAAAAAAAAAAAAAAAAAAAAATGACCATTTTTCAGATTTCTAGTCTACCAACGTTTGGCCAAGGCAAGGACCTTGAAAAATCTGTTTTTGTAAAAAGACAGCAATACAGAGGTAGAGGAAGAGAGTGAGGGGCCCCAGCAGCACCAAGCTAGGCTTCTCTCAACCCCGGCCTCCGCTAAGCCTGAGTTTAACTTAGTTTCAGTTTCTGTTTCTGCAGCCTGTTAGGACTCAGTTTCTGTTTTGTTTTCTGTACCCACTTAAAGCGGGAAGAGACGCCCCAGCCAATCATGTTCAGGATGACCTCATTCCCCCTCCTGGTTGCCTATAAAAGGAGCCTGCACACCCCATTCCGGGTCACAGCCATTTCATTGTCTGGCTCACCGACCCCAGCATGCTGGAATAAACAACACTCTTGCTGTTTGCGTCTGTGAGCGGTGGTCTCTGTTTTGTGGTGTGTTCTGCGCAGCCTAACAAGAGCACACGAAGACAGGAAGTAGCTTCTATATCAAACGTCATAACTGTATGTTTAGAGGTCACACTAGAATGTGAATACACATGCGCGCGCACGCACGCACACATACCTTAAATTGGATGTTACTGGAAAAACATCCAGTTCCATCGATGAAAAATGAGGAATGAAGTGACCACAGATTTTACAATTCTGTTATCTGCAGGAATCTTAGGAGGAGGTTGAGTTTCCCCCCAGGTTTTAGACTCAAACTAAAACACAGAAAACAGCTGAGTGGAAACAATGACCACTTGAAAATATAATCGGATTGCAGTCAGTCAGGGTGTGCTTCCAGTACAAACAGAGTAGAACGGTTTTCCTGTGTATGTGACACTTAAGAAAGGCCCATTGAAGTCACACAGCCAAGCTCGGTGTGTAGACCGTGGTTGAGATCTTTCCCTGTTTAAAAACGAGCCAGCAGAGGAAGACACCTGTATTTGGCTTTTCCCATCAGAGTCCAGACCATGTGGCCCCACATTTTCCGGGTCGTATGTCTTATCATTTCTTCTTCCTCTCGAGGGCCCCGTTTAGGATAATCCTAGGAGGAGTACGAGGAGGCAGCCAAGTGGCCCCGGACGGTGGGTAGGGAACCTGCGTTAAGCAGAGGAGGACGAGCTCCTGGGAGAAGCACGCAAATCAAAGTTGAACGCATGGTACAGTTAAAGGAAAGGAGCGAGATTCTAAGCACCAGATGTAAATCGTGGACAAGTGGAGTCTAGAGATGGGCGGTTACATATGTCAGTGCTTTGGGGAGAATTTGGGAAACCAATGGGGGCCTTGCCCCGCGAGCTCTTGGGCTGTGCTCTGGAGGGATGCCCTTGATTTTCACGGAACATCATAAGTTGAAAATAGATAAATCAAGGGGTGAGGGGCTCCGGTGCGTTTCCAGCTTCGCTCTCGGCTTCGTTGCTTTCATGTTACATTTGACTAAAAATGAGCAGGGCACAGGTGACGATGGAGTGGAATGGGCAAGTGACCTGCAGGGTACGGACACCTGGTGAGCTGGCCGTGTCCAGCAGTTTGCACTGGTAGCCAGCCAGCCCTGCCAGAGCACGCACTGTCTTGGCGCCACTGGGGCTGGCTGCACCTTGGTGGCTCCAGTGGCCAGTGGGGAGAAGGTGGCCCACAGCACCTGAAGCGGGATAAGTCTGATAGAGGCGGATGTAGCCGAAGGGAAAGAAATCGTAGCTGCATTAGATGCTACCTGGTTTACTTTAACAACCCGACCCAAATAACCCAGAGGCTATATTTCTGGTGTGTCTGGTAATTGTATCCATGCAGATAATCCCTGTCCCGGAAGAGGCCTGCTGGTTCTGTGATTCTCCATACAGTGGCTTGGCCACATCTTTCCATACTTGTTTATACTAATGACTCCCTCCGTTAGGGGTGAAGGTGGGGTACTGTTCAAATTAGTTAGAGTCCTGGTGAGATCGATTCAAATGTTAAACTAGAGCCCTGCAATTTAGACAGGATTAATGTCACACAGACTACCAACATATCTGAGTGCCTTATGACATCAGATATATTTGAGACCCGCCTTCTGGGTGCTTGGACCCACAGTAAAGATGACATGGATGTGGCCCATTTACTTTGGCACATCCTTGAAGAGCAAAAGGCTTGCCATCAGATTGGTCTCCTACTAATACAACAGAGACAATCCTTGCCGTATTCAAGGCTTTAACTGCTTAAACTTGTTAATTTTTTTTTTCTTTTTGGTTTTTCGAGACAGGGTTTCTCTGTGTAGCTTTGCACCTTTCCTGGAACTCGCTTTGGAGACCAGGCTGGCCTCGAACTCACAGAGATCCTCCTGGCTCTGCCTCCCAAGTGCTGGGATTAAAGGCGTGTTAATGATTCCTTGTGTTTCCGGTTGGGCACAGAGGCTGCTGGGATCTTCCCTCTTAGCATCCTTACAGCCTGGTGTTCAGCATTGCAGTGAGCTGCCTCTGGTCTAAACCTGAGGACCCATCCTGAATATCAAATAAGTAAGAAAGGTGGCGATATAGGGAGTAAGTGAAGTCCTGAGTTTAGTATGTATTCAACATGGGCATGGGCATGGGCATGCCAAGGACTCTAATGCTTCAGACCCATGGGAAATAGGCAAAGCCTTCCCCTACAGGGTGAGGCTCTGGGAGGCAGCACAACTCGCCTCCCATGAGTGCAAATGTTGATGGTGTGTGTGGTAGTTTGAATGTAATTGGTTCCCATAATCTCACAGGCAGTGGCACAATTATGAGGTGTGGCTTTGTTGGAGTGGGGTTATGGCCTTGTTGGGGGAAGTGTGTCACTGTGGGGGCACGCTTTGAGGCTTCCTATGCTCAGGATGCTGCTCAGTGTCTCAGTTCATTTCTTGTTGCCTGGAAGGTGTAGGACTCTCAGCTACTCCTCGAGCACCACATCTTCCTGCATGCCACCATGCTCCCAGCCATGATAATAATGGGCTGAACCTTTGAAACTGTAAATGACGCCCCCCCCCCCGATTAAATGTTTTCTTCATAAATGTTGCATGTCTCCTCACAACAATAGAAACCCTAAGACAGTGTGTGAAGAAAATGTCATTCTTTGCTCTCAAAGAGTGTTCCCCCACTGACAGACATATGCCAAAATATCTTCAGTTAGATTTTCCCATTTGATTTCCAAATACCTGTTGAATTGACATAATTACCAAGCTTAAAAACAGCCAGAGTTCCAAACTGTGATTTATTTCCAAATATGCCAGCCTTTCTCGTATCTCCGTTTCCCACTTTCTCCTAAAACTTGCAAGATTCTTCACGCTACGCACAGGGATATATGAGTTTTGGATCACATTGGTGTGTTGCCTCTGGAAGTAGCTCCCTCAGTGCTCATGCTGACATTGGTTCCTCCAAACTGTGTCATCAGCTTGTTCTAAACATTTACAAGAACCTGGGGGTGCTCACGACACTGGGTGACCAACTGTTCCGTGTGTGTCCCCAATGAAGTTCCTTCCAACCTAGGAGTACAGTATAATGGGGGAGGAGGGTCTGTGGAATGTTCTCCTTGAAACCTCAGCCATGTTGGGATGAAGGGAAGAAGGACCCTTCTTTTCAGCATCTTTGAAATCAAATTTAAGGTGGCAACGCGGCAGAAAGCAGAAGCAGTCACAGACAAATGCAGAAGTAGATACTGGAGGGGTGTTGGGATAAAGGGCTGAATGTCAGAAACATTTTGAAAATACAAATGAATCAAAGGCTCTGAACCCAAAGGCTCAAAATACAAGCAAAACAGGATAAATAACAAAAATCAGACCCGAATAGCCAGTTCAGAATGAAACAGTGGACTGTAGAAAAAAAACCAACCTTCAGAAAGAACTCACCAACATCTACCCAGGGGACAAGCATCAGAAAACTGAGGACAAGGTGCCGGTGCTGGTACTTGGTACCCATCTGGATGACTTTGGTCAAAGTGGATTGTCACAAGGACCCCAAAATGAGCACCAAAAGCTGCCATCATCACAGCACAACCTTCATCTCTAAGAGAAGAAGAGTTTCTTCTGCAGTCAAATATTAGTGTCCATGGATCAGGTAACCTCAAATACCATGTTTCAATGTGGTAACAGTTTCATGATGTTTTTACAGTTACAAAATAAGAAAATCATAAATCAAAGCACTTTTCAAATATATTGGTAGAAACATTAGGGTTACAATGCAATGGGGAAATCTATGATGTAGGCCTCAGATGCTATCTGATGACAATATCAGTCTGAATATTGGTGGAAACTGGTGGCTTAGTAATACATTACAATCGGGCTGGAGAGATGGCTCAGCCGTTAAAGGCTAGGCTCACAACCAAAAATATAAGAGTAATACATTACAAGAGGATTTGCCTATCGAAATGACTCACATTCCACCTTAACCCTGTCAGAATGGCTAAGATCAAAAACACAAATGACAGTTCATGCTGTTGAGGATGTGGAGCAAGGGGAACACTCCTCCATTGCTGGTAGGAGTGCAAACTTTACAGGCACTTTGGAAGCCAGTGTGGTGGTTTCTCAAAAACCTGGGAATCGACCTACCTCAAGACCCAACTATACTGCTCTTGGGCATATATCCAAAGGACACTCCATCCTACCACAAGGACATTTGCTCAACTATGTTCATAGCAGCTTTATTTGTAACAGCCAGAACCTGGAAACAACCTATATGTCCCTCAACTAAGGAATGGATAAAGAAATGTAATACATTTATACAATGGAGCATTACTCAGATGTTAAAAACAAGGACACCAGGAAATCAGAAGGCAAATAATGGAACTAGAACAAATTATCCTGAGTGAGGTAACTCAGATTGAGAAAGACAAATATGGCATGCACTCACTCATAAGTGGATATTAGCTGTAAAATAAAGGATAACCATGCTACAATCCATAGAAAGACTAAGTAACAAAGAGGGTTTATGGGGGACCACCTAGATCTCCCTGAGAAGGGGAAACAGAAGAGATTTTGTGAGTGGGCTAAAGGAGGGTGTGGATGGGAACATAAGCAATCAGGTTGTAGGGGACAGAGGGGGAAGAATACTGAAAGAGACTACTGGAAAGGGGGAGGATCAGGTAAAAACATTGTGCAAGGGAATCTCCCAGGAATCTACAAGGATAACCCCAGCTACAAGTCCTAGCAATAAAGGATACTTAGCCTGAACTGGCTGTCTCCTGTGCCCAGATTGGTGCCTAGCCCAATTGTTATCAGAGAGGCTTTATCTAGCAACTGATGGAAACAGATGTAGATCCACAGCCAAACATTAGGCAGAGTTCAGGGGATTCTGCAGAAGACAGGGAGAAAGGATTGTAGGAGCCAGAGGGGTCAAGGACAACACAAGAAAATTCACAAAATCAACTGACCTGGGCTCCCAGAGGCTCCCAGAGTCTGAACCAACAACCAGGGAGCCTGCATGAGACTGACCTAGGCACTCTGCATATGTTACAGTTGTGTAGCTTGGTTCTCTTATGGGACTCCTAACAGTGGGAACAGGGGCTGTCTCTGACTCTTTTACTGGCTTTTGGGGCCCTACTCCCCATACTAGGTCGCCTTGCCCAGCCTTAATACAAGGGAAGGTGCTTAGTCTTATTGCAACTTGATATGCATGTTTTATTGATATCCATGGGAGACCTGCCCTTTCCTGAACAGAAATAGGGGAGGAGTGGTTTGGAGGGTGAGAACAGAGAGGGGGAGGGAGGGACTAGAAGAAGAGAAGGGTAGGGGAACTGCAGCCAGGATATAAAATAAAGAAACAAATTTATTCTTAAAAAAAAGGATTTATCTGATAGTAGCAAGGCTGTTAGACCAAACACACAGACAATGAACAGCTATTAAGGAGATAACAATAGCCCAAGATGCCACTCTTTGGCATCTTTAATATAGATGAGGCTTTTTATGTGGAAGCATCAGCTCAGAATACAAGCAGTTTATATACAAGCAAAAATGTTAAAGTATCACTGATAATAAGCATATGTTAGTATAAGGTCATTGACTTAAGTCAAATAAGTTTTTCCAAATAGATTTTAGTAGCTTAATCTGAACTGTTCAAAAATGGGACAAATATTTGAAAACTGTTTAAGTCTTTTGAAAAATATAGGATAACTAAAAATCTACTCTGCTGGTTGAATTTGAGAAGTTTCATAAAAATTTAATCATAAATTCATATTAATTGTCCAAATGTTAGTGTCACTCTTGCATGGCATTGGGAATAGTTCAGCTCTGAGTTCCCTGACTCCAGTATGCCTATGCTACTATATAACTATTCAAACTAAAG